AAACAATGATGGCCCGGTCGGGAACTCTGGTAGACGTGCAGGCCAGACCCGACCGTCAACCGCCGACTGTATAGTAGTACCCATATGGTAGGGAAGCAGGCCGGGGTGCAGGTTACAGAGACTGGAACAAGTTCAAGGGACTAACAACGCCGAGAATCCCTTCCTACAAAGGTAGGCTGCCCCACGAATTCTGGGGGAGGCAAAAATCCGAATCAAGGTAACGATAGAGGACAAAGAGCGTCAACCCCAACGATAGACCTTACATGGGACGAAACAAAAAGCAAGTCAATTAGCGTGACAAAGACTCAAACCCAAGACACTAAAAAAAGGAAACTGACGGAGACATACAGGAGAAAAACTGCGAAAAAACGTCGAACAAAACACGAAACGGGAAATTGAGGATATCCAAAAGGATCTGAGCAAACAAATAAGGGTGCTTAAAAAGTCACACGTCACAAAATGGCTAGAACAACATAGGTACGACAAAACCTAAAAACTAACAATAGAAACAGAAGCACAAACAAGCCCTAAGAGGCTCGAAAAACAAAGCAGAGAGGCAGCGACAGGATCAGTCGATGCTGAGCACGAAGAGACAGAATCCAGAAGATAATTCAAGAAAAGATATCAGAAGGGGGTCTAGAGAACTTCAAACAGATCGTCAACACCCCTTGACCAGCATTAGGAGATATCACCTACACAATCAACACCGTAGAAATACCAAATGTGGATGGCACTCTGGATAAGCGACGGCAATATTTTTACTGCGTTTCATTGCTGAACGACAAGGGTGCGATAGACCAGGAGACGGCTTACCACGGCCTCACAAAACTGAAGCAGAAGGAGTAAAGAACCTGACACTCCAGAAAATAGACAGGGAGACGCCAGTCATCAAAAAGATGATGGAATTTATTTTCAACTCGACGAGTATAAATATCCACATATGCACTAAAGCGCCCAAAACCCCCAAGACAGCGCAAAGCACAAAAAATTCACAAGACGCAATAATAGTTAGCGGCAACGGCAAAACATACGCGGAGCTCTTCAAGATCCTCAGCAAGGAGATAGACCTACAGGAGATAGGCATTTCTATTAAAGGCGCCACAGAGCGACCAGAAACGGGGAACTTCTCATAACATATAAGGGACATAAGGCGCAGACCGAGAAGCTAATAGGGACTATAAATAGCAAGCTGAAGGGGGTCCAAATCACACACAAGGCGGCAACTAAAGTGCTACACATCAGAGGCCTAGATGGCCTGACAAACAAAGAGGAAATTGAGGAGGCATCTCTGAGAGAGATAAACATCGACAGAGCTGATATCAGGGTCACTTCTGTCAGAAAAGCTTGGCAAGGGACACAGAAAGCGACGGTGTGGAAAAATTCAGTATCTTATTCAAAACTAATTTTCAAGTAGCTATATATTTATTTTAGAGTCCTCTATACTTTGAGCGATTACCCATATCAATTTGACACAACTCCTTGCCAAAACATTTTATAGAAGAACTTTTCTCCTAGATTTTTGTTTTGGATTATCTCTTGTCCAGTTTTCGTTAGCTTTCATAAAAAGAATGTAGGGGTTATAGGTAACTATATCAATCAAATTGGAAGAACCGCCATTGGCCATTTTCTTGTGCTACGCCGACGACTGTACGCGTGATAAAAACGTCTGGCAAAAGTCAAAGATTTTGCCAACCTCAACAAATTTCATTTCTACGGGTTGAAAAAACACGTAAAATAAAAGTCCTAAACGGTTTTTGGAGAGAAAGTAAAAATGAGTAAGTAACGCTGAAAAAAGTAAACTGGGGTCTTTGCCTGACCCCCCTGTTCCAGGTGCGACTGTTAACTGACAGGGAAGTGGTCATCATGGCAGATGAAAGGACAGAGAAATTACAGATGACGTGTGGAGCCCCCCAGGGCTCCATTTTGGTACCTACTCTGTGGAACGTTTTATACGATAGGATGCTTGACCTCGTTCAACCAGAGGGTGTCACTCTAATTGGCTACGCTGATGATGTCGCCTTGGTAGTCATGGCAAAGAACATGGAAGAGGTTAATCTAAAAACAGACACAGCAATGATGAGGATAATGGAATGGCTGCGGAGTAGGCACCTACAATTGGCCAAAGAAAAAACAGACGTCCTGATTGTCTCCTCCAAAAGACGTATTTACCCCCAGGACAACTCTAAATATCCTGGGAAAGGAGATAGACCCTAAGCCAGAGATTAAGTATTTTGGCGTATGGATAGATTCCAAATTAAGCTTCCGCTCTCACCTGACACACACTGTTACACGCGCGAGCAAAGCAATTATGGCAATCGGTAGGCTCATGCCTAACATTGGGGGACTGCAGGCTAGTAAAAGACGCTTGCTATGTTCAGTGAGCAGATCCATATCACTGTACGCAGCCCCAGTCTGGGCGGCGGCGCTAAACAAAAAGAGCAACCAGGACATCTACAAAAGCGTGCAAAGATAAGCCTCGATAAGGATTACGTGCGCATATGGAACCGCCTCTACAGACGCCCTGCTAGTTATAGCGGAGTTACCACCGATAAACCTTCTTACAGAAGAGGCTACCAACATTGCGGAGGCAAACGAAAGGGTGAGAAACACTGTCCGCAGAGAAGAAAGGGACAACAGATAACGAGTGCTTGTACTGTGGCGTATATATTGAAAGGAGTTAATAGATTCGATTTCTCTCTGGAGTCTGAAGCAATTGAAAAGAGGTGGCTGTAATGATTTGAAAATTTGGAATTTTGGTTCAAGTATTTTCTTTTTGGCACTGTATATTTTATATAATAAAAAGTATATGTATGAAAACCTCACTGCAGCTGTTTCTCTTATTTTCAAATAAACTTCCAAAATTTCATTTGTAGTTACTCAAGGAAATAAACACCATCAAGAAAACCGCTCGCCATTTACCATCTTACTAATTAATAGAGTTCCTACTTGGGCAAACAGCTACAGGTCATTGCTTCGTAATTCTCTAGATAGCATTATGGCAAGTTATGCTTGAAAGCTTTAGATTATCGCTACAAATCAATAGTCAATCAACAAATAAATTTTCGTCTAATCAAAGGCCAAATGTCAAATTGAACTCTGCCGTTTGCAGATCAAAGTCAAAAAGAGATAAGGCTTTCTCACTTAAGCCAAAATTACAAGAAAATAATAATGAGGTCTACATCGAACAGAGCTATAGATAATTGATTCGATGATATTTAAGTCAGCATCCAATTCCCAGAGCACAAAAGAAACGACAGTATTGCTATAGAATCAGTCAGATCGAAAAAAAAAAATAATAATAAAAAAAAAATCGTATTAGAACAAAAAAACAAAGTTTCAATATCAGGAACAATTGATGAACGAATTCCAAGCAACAAGTGCATTAAGAATACTGACATCAATGTCACACTGTCAATCCAACAATCAGTATAAAAAAATTTGACCACCTGATTGGCCAATATTACCTTCACTCGATAAAAAATATGATGAATGAATACGCATTCAAGTCAAAATGCAGCAAGGTATAACCCTAATATAAGGCAAGATACCACACTCTCTAATAAATTGCACATCTAACAAAGTAAGGCTCTATATTGATCAATATACAGGATTCATAAGAATAAAGGAGCTTCAAGTTTTTTTATCATAGTAGTGAAATCGATTATTGGCTACAAAATTGCAAAAAAGAGATCGAACACAAAATTCCAGGATGTCAGAGCATATAGGGAAGTGACCTGTGGTAGTGACCACTACTTGCTGAATATAAATCTTTCTCCCTGTTAGAAACTTTGCAAGGGAAAGGAAAGTTAAAACAAGAAGACAAGATTGAGCCTAAGAAGTACAACCTATACAAATATACGAAAAAAATTTGAGAACCCAGAATCCTTATTATTGGTGGGATGAAGAAATCGACTCGCATCAATAAACATAATAGTAGATGATATCAAAGACAAACAAGTCGTTTGGTTCGGACATCTACGAAGAATGGCAGATACCAGAATAGCCAAATAATTCATTAAGTGGAATCCAGGAAAAAGAAGAAGACGCCTAACCAGGAAGAAGGTGGAGTGGAATAGATGTAAAAATTAGTGACAAAGGCTTGGTGGAGGATTACTGAAGTGGAACAGATGATTGGAATTATGGAATTATATGAAGAAAAACGTTATAGACCGTTTAATATAATAAACATAGCAGTAAAATGAATATATTATATACATCATCATGCTTGAAAACACTTTGGCAAATTCTGGAAGTTCTTCAACACTCAACAGCCGCATTACTACCATAAGTATCAACGCACAACTGTTATTTGAAACATGTATCCCGAACATGAAGACATTTTAGGTTTAGACACCTACCTGGGTCCTTAGTCTTGAAACAGGTGAGCAGCGTTTCCAGGAGATCGAGTGTTCCGTCTTTGTTACTTATATTATCATTTACATATCATTGAGAAAGATGTAACACTGGTTCTTCTGGCAACGCTGCTCCCCTGTTTCAAGAATAAGGACCCTGAATATTCAATTGAGTTGCAGTCCCTAAGATTATTTTGAGTCGAGCTAGCATATCTTATCTCTTCATAAGTTGAGATCACACGTGAATAAAATGAGATTGAATTTATTTTCGCTGTCTCACTCTGCTCAGTTGATTAGCTTTTCCTTACTGGGGAAAAAGATTGAGGCAACCACCTAATGGAAATAGGTACAGTATAATAAGACATAGTCTAGATTTTATTAAGCCATTTTTATGATAAATTTTCAAACCTATTAATTATTCTCGCCATCCACAAAGCTATACTTATAAAATAACCAGATCTTTCCGTCCAAACACAATTCTGCTACCCCTAACAATTTTTGTCGCGGGGGCGCTTATTCTTTATTATTTGTCCGCTACAGAAACTAATAGGGCGCCTGCTCCAGGATTCTGGATGCTGCATGATATTCCCTATTTCCAGCAGTAAGGATTTCGGATCGAACAGAGTTGCTCGGTTAAGCTCCGGAGTTGGGGCGGTTTCGTTTTTCTAACGTGGTAAGGGGACGGTTTTTCTGATAAAAGGTATATTATTGATGGGTTTTAAGATACTGCCGAGCGTATAGTGTAGATTACCAGGTGAGTTGCTTATTACCTATATAAAATTTATTGTTTATTGACAGAATATGATTGTATAGGTATTCTATACCTGGAAGAATAATAAAATAAAATAAAATATTGCCTTGAAAATATTTTGGTAATCAGATAACTAAAACTCCAAGAGTTTAGGTCAAGTATTGCTTCTAAGAGGTTATCATTTGAATGACTTCCAGAGTTGCATTTATCAACGATTATAATTTGAAGGTTAGGTTTATAGGCTGCATTCGCTTCCTAAAACAATTTTTGTTTCCAAATCCCATTCTCTAATTTTTTCTGCTTGTTATTATTCGACGTATTAGTCAGATCTTTTTTTTTTTTATTTTCGTCTAGATTGATATGTAGATGCAAATTTCGTATAACAATCGATTTAAGTTTTGAATAACAATCTGGGGAAATAATTTAAAAAATAGTAGGTAATTGTAAAACGACAAACATTGGTTGGTATGAATAAAAACGAAATACCTGCTACTACTACAAGTATTAGTATATTCTGCGCAGTATTTACTTTAAAACGAAGTAGATATTCCATTTTGAAAAACTCTTTTTTGTTTTTCCGGAAGTTGCTAAAATAATAGCGTTCTCCTAAACATTATAGCAGCATGTACTCCAGTTGAAAGTATTTACTTTTTACTAGTAGATACAACTGAATTATCTGCTCCGTCATTAGCGAAGTTGATATTATAGCAGCTTCACCGTGAGTGCTTCTAAGTGATAAATTATTTTAAAAATGACTCAAATGCGAAGAAAAAAAATTTATACTGTAAGAAGACTCAAATCTTCTTACATCTTTTGCCGATCGGAGCTGTCATTCTTTTATTTAACATAATTTAAATGTCTTCGAGCATAACAACAAATGCCAACTGTTGGTCTGAAAGAGATTACTACACTTGTAAAGTAGATACCTCATAATATGGAGTACCCATATAGTTTGTGGTGAAGCATATTCTATGTCAAGTGAAGTACCTAGATACTACCGGAAATTAGTAATTCCTTTTTTTTAAATAGGTTGAGTGTTACGGTAAATTGAACGAACTTCACCCTGGGCCCAAAAGCATATAATACTATTCCAAATGCCTTTATTATACAGATACATTGTTTAGACATCCAGTGTAAGATATCTGTCAATTTGAAGTGAATGTCCATTTTACTGGACGTCGGGATATTTTATTGATCGTAACTGTAATAACCCACCAGTCCAGTTAACTGGAGCACTACGTCAAATATATTGGACGTATTCATCCATTAGCATTAATGATTATTGTCAATAACGAAAAGAAAGTTTCTGAAAATAATAAAAACTCAAGGATATTCCAAAAGATATAATCTAGAAAAAATTAAATGTAACGGAAACAAAGTTTCTGAACATAATCAAAACGAAAGGATATTCCAATAAATACTAAACATAATCTAGAATGATAAAATCAAGTAAAAACTAAAATTTTAAACTTCTGTTGTGGCCCGCTTCTGTTTAAGTAAATACTGCAGTTTTCATCCATACCACCCAATGTCTGAGAAAAATTTACAAATTTCCAATTTTGAAAAATGGATTAGTTTCTTCATAAAACAAACTACCTCAATGCTTGCCTGAAAAAATTGTGATCCATGCGCGTATTCTACAAATAATTTCTATCCTTGCTGCAAAGGATATAAATTATTAGCTGATTATTGGGGGTAATAGCAAAGTTTACGTAATAGGAAAAGTGCATCAAAATTACCGGTAATTTTGGATGAAAGCATGTTTTCAAAAAACTGCATGAGTCGATTTATGAGGGAAATATTGGAGATAAATATTTTGGTACAAAAAGTATCTTAGTTTACTTCACTTCCAGTGCGATATTGATGAAAAAAATAAAAGTATTATTTACCAAATTTATGTACAGGGTGGTCATTTTATCTTGATGACATTTCAAACTGTCATAATTTTTTTATTTTTGAAGTTTTTTAAATAAATAAAAAAACATACTGTAGGGTTGTTCTCCAAGTTTTAGATAGAGTGGACAAAAAACAAAAGACTAAAATATTTTGACAGTTATACACACAAGTAGCATTTTTTCAAATGGAACACCCAGTAAATTTTTAGTTTGTTTGATAATATGTTTCATTCTGATTGCACTATATACAATTGACTTCATATTTACATGCAGAAATGTTCTATTTATTCTAAGGGGAAATTCTGTCTACCTACCTACCTTTGCAGGTAATCTGTGTTGTGTAGGTAATCAATATTTTCAGTTAGAATAAATAAAACATTTCTGCATGTAAATATAAAGTGAATTGTATTCCAGTGTATCGTATTGTATACATTGCAATCAGAATAAAACATATTATCAAACAAACTGAAACTTTAGTGGGTGTTCCATTCAAGAAAATGTTATTTGTGCGCATAACTGTCAAAATATCTTAGTCTTTTGTTTTTTGTCCACCCTATCTAAAACTTGGAAAGCAACCCTACAGTATGTTTTTTTTATTTATTTGAATAACTTTAAAAATAAAGAAATTATGGCAGTTTAAAATGTTATCAAGATAAAATGACCACACTGTACATAATCTTCGCAGACATCTTCATAAAGCTATTTACATCGGCGTTGTGGTCTAGAGATTAGCGTTTTTGCCTCTTGCCATGCAGGCCCAGGTTCAATCCCTTGGCCGTTCAGCGTCGATGTTAGGTAATATTTGAATATATTGAAATATATTCTAACTGCAAAACTTAGGTAGGTTGTTATATCCCCATTAATTAGGTATTTTAGATTGTTATGCTTACGATCAGCTATTCCTATATTTTAGACCGTTTCCCTGCATAATTGTAAGATCCTAGAACTTTATTTAATTCACCTAATAATGTAAATTGTGTCATCAGATTCCTCCGAATTATTCTAATCACATAAGAACGAGGCCAGCTCGTGATCACACACGTGTTCCTTTTTGACCATTTCTTTGTTCTCTTATCAATCACGCGACTTGCTATTACAAAAGGTTCACTCCTGAAAGTTCACTCCTGAGAGATCACTCTTGAGACTAAATTCTAAGCTCAAAATTCTGTCAATTTATTTTATACTTAATTTTTGTCACCAAGTTTAATTAATTTAAAATACCTAAATTAAATTCCAAGTTGTTTTAAATTGTTTTTACTTGACAAGAATACAGTGTATTCCGAGGGTCCTAACAAGGTACTTGTTTATAAACAATATTCTCCATTTTGTTATCCAGAAGACAATGTATACTCAATACTTCAGATTTTCTACTCTAGAGCAAGTTTTGTATAGTTGACTGTGAGAAAAGCAGGAGTCTTTGAGGTTGATGCCGCAATATTTTAAAGTTTGTCCTTGCGCTTTGTCAATTATTGTAGAACTATAGGCTAATTGGAAATTGCAGTCTATTAAATTGGAATGGCAATTAAGTAGAGATCAGTTGTATTCTGGGGATAAATATTGTATTTCCTTTATTCTTTCCAGTCATAAGTTCGGCTTCGATGAGTTGAGATTTCTGAGTAGTATGACTGGAAATTTAATTTTCAGTCGAAGGCAGTGTAAGGGCATTCCTGGTAGGTACCTGCAAATAATTTAAAAATCATTTAGTGAAGTTGGCACTTCAACGTTTGCCATCGTGTCGATTTGTGCATTAATTCTTCACCGGGAATTTTCTTTTGAATATTAAAATTAATATTGTCGACAATATTATTTTTAGTTGCTGAAATTGCCCTCTGAAATAGCCGCTCCGGAGTGGTAAAGCTATAAACATTTTTTTTCTTCTTTCCTGGGATTCGGTCGTGTATTAAAACGAAATATTTATGTAACGTTTCGGCATTCTTATTACCATCTTCAGACATATACATACACAGTTCTAAAATAAATCTTATTATTATTATTATTCTTTTTTTAATCTTTCGAAAGGTTTTACATTCAACTATCTCTATATATTCTTTTTCTAATTATAATTGGTGGTATGCTTATTATATTTATTTATATCTAATTATTGTTCTTAAATAGTTTATTTTGTAAAAAAAATTGTCATTGACTCTTTTTGGATTATGTATGTTCTAATTTTTGTGATGGTCCCCAAAATTGTTCTGTCGACAATTCAGGCTTGTCAGATCGCGAAGCCGTTTTCTGTGACTTTTCAATACCATGTCAAAAGAGTGTGCATTTAAGAAAAAGAAGGGACGTCTGTTTTCTAGGCGCAAAACAGCCAATTCACAGATGTATGTACTAAGACAGACTTGAATGTTGTTCTGTGAGACAATGCTCTGCACTCATTTCACCTGACACTTGTTCTTTATCTTCAATGCCACTTTTCCCATTGTAAATATAAAACAAAAAAAAAAAATCAAGAAAACCATGGATTACCAAGGGCTTAAGAATTTCTTCCAATAACTTAAGGTGTCTGCACACCAACAGAAAATTTGCAGTGACCAACGAAGTTTTTGTAGCATATTTTAATAAATATAGATCAATATACCGAAATACAATTTAACTAGCAAAAACCACTTACTACAACAGTAGAATATCATCTGAAAATAATAGTCTGGGGGAGATCTGAAGGGGAAAAGAATCCATACAGGATGATTCTACTGAAATTGATGTAAACACCTTCAACTCATATTACTACAATATTGCAAGATACCTGTGGGGCAACATTCCTGAACAAACAGTTCCTGATCCTTTATCATTGTCCTCCTTGAGCAGTTTTTTGGTTCCTAACTCTTTCTTTTTCAACCCAGTTACGGTAGAAGAATTAAAAAAAAATAATTTGGGTATCAAAAATAAAATCTCATCCGGTTTCTATCAAGATCTTTCTTGCCCTTCCGGACTCTGTCTTAAATGTTTTGGCAAATTCCATAAATGATTCAGTGGAAGCAGGTAATTTCCCAACCTTTTTGAAAAAGATCAGGGTGATTCCAATTTTTAAGGGGGGACAGAAGGAGTTACCCTCTAATTACCGACCAATATCATTGGTCATTGGGTATACCTCAAACTTGATGA